TTTTTTCTTTAGTGGATTACCGGTATGTTTACCGGTAATAAACTTGCACTGTTTTATGTATATGTTTGATTACATACAGCCTTGTGACAGTTTTCCTGCATGTCATAAGCATTTGAATATAAATTAAAATGTTAAAATTAAATCTGATATTGTTTTACCTTTTATGTGGGGTGTGGAAGGTGTGCGGAAGAGGGGGTAGTCTTATACGGCGAGTATATAACAAACTCTGTATTTTGAGTGGAAATGTTAGGGGGTCGTCTTATACGCCCAGTCGTCTTATACACCGGCAAATACGGTAACATAATGCTTCCCAGGTCCATCCATGCTGTCGCAAAGGATAGGATTTTCTTCTTTTTCATGGCTGAGTAGTATTCCATTGTGTAAATGTACCATCGCTTTTTCAAAAGTCTTTATTGTTGAGAGTATTACAAATGTCTCCCATTTACTCCTCCACTGCCCCCCTTGACCTGGTTCCCGCCCCACCCCAGGCCTTCACCACCCTATAAGTCTGTGTCCTTAGGTAATTCATATGTGCATATAAGTTCTTTGGTTAATCTCTTCCACCCCGCTTTCCTCTGAGATTTGTCAGTCTCTTCCATGTTTCCATGCCTCTGGCTTTATTTTCTTCACCAGTTTATTTTGTTCATTAGATTCCTTCTTCATTTCTTCTTTCTCTTCTAAAAGAACACCCTTCAAGCCCAGCCAGCATGGCTAAGTGGTTGAGCATCGACCTATGAACCAGATCATCATTCCATTCTCGGTCAGGACATATGCTTGGGTTTCGGGCTTGATCCCCAGTGTGGGGCCTGCAAGAGGCAACTGACCAATGATTCTCTCATCATTGATCTTTATCTCTCTCTCTTCTTCTCCCTTCCTCTCTGAAATCAATAAAAATATATTTAAAAAACGGGAAAAAAATAATACCCTTTAACATTTCATTTATTACTGGTTTGGTGGTGATGAACTCCTTTAGTTTTATCTTGTCTGTGAGCTCTTTATCTGACCTTCAATTCTAAATGATAGCTTTGCTGGGTAATCTTGACTATAGGTCCTTGCTATTCATCACTTTGAATATTTCTTGCCACTCCCTTCTGGCCTGTAAAGTTTCTGTTGAGAAATCAGCTGACAGTCATATGGGTGCTCCCTTGTATATAACTGCTTTTCTCTTTTGCTGCTTTTAACACATTGGGTACCGCATAGAAATCTCTAAGACATACACCAGGGACCGCACGTTTTTGGACAAACTGCACGTTATTTAAATCATCATAATGCACTTTAGGTGTTGTTTTTCAATAATTATAACATTTTTATTTACAAAAACAATTAAACAATTAAAGTTCCTAGTACTTTTTTTTAACGTATGGTACTGCGTAAAACATTTTCCTCTATGAAGAGGGACCAAACAAAATTTACATAAGTATCTAGATTCGCTCCTTTTTTCATGGGCGTGAAAAACGATAACACTTGTGAGCGGTCCTTAACAGATGGCACGCGAAACACGAGAAAACTCCTGAGCGGTACGAAATGTGTTAAGATTCTCTCTTCGTTTTTAATCTTTGGCATTTTAATTATGATGTTTTTGGTGTGGGCTTCTCTTTGTTTCCTGGACTTTTAAGTCTGTTTCTTTCACCAGGTAGGGAAAATTTTCTGTCATTAATTCTTCAAATAGGTTTTCAATAACTTGCTGTCTCTGTTCTCCTTCTGGCACCCCCATAATGCAAATATTGGTACGCCTGAAGTTGCCCCAGAGGCTCCTTATACTATCTTCATATTTTTTAAATTATTTTTTCTTTTAGCTCTTCTGATTGGGTGTTTTTTGCTTCCTCATATTCCAAATCATTGATTTGATTCTTGGCATCTTCTACTCTACTGTTAAATCCCTGTAAATTATTCTTTATTACAGTTCGTCTATGCTTCATTT